TTAGCAAAGCAGCTGGAAAGAGGAGTTTGTGCTTGGAATTGTGAGCAGCAAGGGATGTGCCGAATTCCAAGATGCAACCTGTGGGAGAAATCCTCTCCAGGCTTTTTCTGTGGAGTCGAACCCAGCCGTGTGCGCACGGGCGTGTTTACTACGTGCCAAGAGTGAGCCCACGGCGTGGGAACCTCTGGGAAAAGGGAGGGATCCCGCTAGGAAAGGGGCTTTGAGGCTGGAAAGGGGGCTCCTAAGGAGGGGACAGGTCACCACCCTCTGCAGGTGGGAATGGGAAGAGCTGTGTCCGAGGGAAGGAGCTGGGAATGTGCCAGCCTTGCTCTGCAATTCTTACCTGCAGTGGGACCTGGAGCTGCCCACACCTTGGGAATTTGTGGAAGAAATTTTTCCCTGTGAGGGTGGGGAGGCACTGGAGTGGATTTCCCAAACAAGCTGTGGCTGCCCCATCCCTGGAAGTGTTGAAGACTAGGTTGGATGGGCCTTGGAGCAATCTGGGATGGTGGGAGGTGTCCCTGCCCATGGCAGGGGGTGGAATGGGATGATCTTTAGGGCCCTTTCCAATCCCAACCATTCCAGAATTCCATGTCTGATCCCCTCAGGTGCCTGACAGAGGTTTCCCAATTCCTCTCCCTTTGGCTGGCATTCCAGCCTCCAGTGTACCAGCCTGAGCCTGAATTTAGGCTTCCAGCTTATCACCGGACCAGCTCTCCCTAGGTTTGGCTCTGACTGGGATGTCTCCCTTCTGAATTAAGTGCTTTTTAGGGATTCAGGCTCAGGGGTGGGGCAGCAGCTTGGGCCCCCCAAATCCTTTCCCAGTGCTGGAGGAGCCATGGAAAGCTGAGACAGCTGGAGCGGGAGATTTTTCTGAACATCCAGAGTGCAGGAGAAGCCTCTCCATTAGGGAATGATTTTTAGTGAAGGTTTGAGTGATGCTGTTTCTCTGCAGAGCTGCAGCAGCTGCTCCTGCTGGGGGGACACTGCCAGCTGCTCATCCCTGCTTTGGGAGCTTCCCAGGGGCTGGGAATGACATGGAGGGTCGTGCCAGGAGGTGCTGGCTTGGGGGGCATGGGGGAAGAGCAGGTTTCTGAGGAGTCCTGCTGGGATAATGAAGGATTTGAGGAGCTGGAACAGTCTGGAGGCACTGGATTAGCAGCGCTTTGGTAGGAGGTGATGGAGGCTGATGCCTCCAGAGAGTCGCGGGCGGGAATCATGCTGGGAAGGGAGGGAGGGAGAGAGGGAGGGCTGGGAAGGCACAGCCACCATGGGGATGGAAGCAAACACAGGCACTTCCTGCTTGGTGACATGGGGATGGGGGACAGGGATGCCTGTTGGTGTGGTTTTTAAAAGCACTTCCCAAATTCTGGAGGGGAAATGTGTGGAATTACGGTCGGCTGCACAGAGGGAGCAGCCTTGGCTTGTGCCAGGGAAGGTTTAGATAGGGTATGGAGGCAAACTCCTTCATGGAAAGGGTTGTCAGGCATTGGAACAGGCTCCAGGGATGGAGTCCCCATCCCTGGAGGGGTTTAAATCCCATGTGGGTGAGGCACTTGGGGACGTGGGTTAGTGGTGACCTTGGAACAGTTGGACTCCGTGATCTTGGAGGGTTTTTCCAACCTCAATTCTTCAGTAATTGGTATTCCCTAGAGAGTGAGAGACAGTGAGTGAGTGAGGTGCTGGAATTTTTTCCCCTGGAGGAAATGTCGGGATAACGCTGTTGTCCACCTTTCCCTGGTGGCCTGTCCCCTTTGAGAAAGACAAAAGCACCTTCCCAAGACACTTGTTGCTGTCTCTCCTTGGAATTCAGCCAGCTGGAACAGCCTGTGCCTGCTCCAGGGGTGATGGAGCCCAGCCTGGTGCTTGCAGGGGTTGAGGAGAGAGGAGGTGGTTTGGATAACCTGGATGCTGGAATCCCTGTGCCAGGGAGACTGCTGCACTCCCAGCCTTGTTCCAGCTATTTCCCTATGATTTATTGTAATCCTAATGGAGCAGCTGAGGGAAATTGGCAGGGTTGGGATGGAGGAGGAGAGGGGCTCGTTACCCTGGGAGTAACGGAGCGTCTGACTCCGACTGGGAGCCCAACAGGAGCAGGATTTCGGAGCAGCAGGATTGGATGTGCTGCGCCTGGGGGCGGTGGCAATGACAACAAACTGAATAATAATAAAAAGCTTCCCATGTTCCCAGCTATTCCTGGAGCCTTGTTCCCTGTCCAAATTCCCTGGAGGAGGGGTTGGTTTGCTTTTCGGTTTAGGAGAATCCTTAACCCTGGAATCTGTTGGCTTTTTATCAGGACACCCAGCTGGATGGGCTCTTTGTTGATGGAATCCTTCCTGGCACATTCCAGGGATCTCCAGAGCTCCAAGGCTGCCTACAGTGGTCTGGAGCCTTCCTGGGAGCTGAAATGGAGAATTCCAAGCCTGTGGTGTGGAACAGCCCCGTGCCATATCCATGTGTTGAGGAATGATGCTCCAGCTGGAAGAACACCACAGAATTCCCTCTCCCTCATATTCCCAGGTCATTCCTGCACAAAGAGCACAGATCCATCCAGAGGTGAGTAGGGAATAACAATTCCTTAAGCCACTGGGGCCTTTGGAGGTTTCCTTGTGAAATGGCTGGTGATGCCCTGATGGAGATGCTGCATCTGAGTTATCCAGAGGGATAACCCAGCTGGTGGATGCCTGGGATGCTCTAACTCTCCCTTACATCCCTGTAAAGGTGTGGGATTCCCAGGAATGTGTGTACATCACCACACCATTGCCCCAGGCATTTAAACCCAGACTCAACCCTTTCCCACAGGTTGGGAAGCTCTGAAATGAATGGATTTGCTCCAGAGGTTGGAGGTGGGGACAGATCCATGCGAAAATCACGGAAAATCATGTCTTTTGTGACAGGCTCAAATTAATTCCTTAATTCCCTTAAATGCTTCGCCACCCGCCCTCCGTGTCATGACAGCGGGGAAAAAAATGGGATTTCTGAGGGCATTAATCCTCCCCTTAATGCTTTAGAAGCATCCAGTTTATCCAAAACATTCCAAAACTTCCTGTAAAGGTGTCAGTGCCATACAGGAGTCAGGCAGCGGAGCCCTGGGGATCGCTGGGAAGAATCCCGACCCTGGAGCTGGGCTATGAATGCGGTCTGGCCCTTGCAATTCGGTGGAGCCAGGCTGGAAACGGGCAGCTGGAGCTGCTGGAAGGCAGAAATCCTGAGCTGTATGGGATTAATCGCCTTGTGTCCCTTAATTGGCAGGATCAGGGCTGGGATGTGCTCTATCCCGCGCCTTGGAAAGCCTCGGACGGCTTCCGATTGTATTTTCCTGAATAAAAGAGTAATTTCCAGTCTTCCTGAGCTTCTTCCCTCTGTCTGCTCCAGGTTTTGGGGCTTCCAGGGGTGCCTGCCTGGCCGGGAGCGGATCGTGAGGAAGGGAGACCTTGGAAGAGCCACAGGCTGGATGAAACGATTTGTTGGAATGCTAAATTTGGCAGCAGCTTTTCATCCAAACCGGAGCCACTTTGCACCTGTCTGGGAAGATAAAGGGACTCGGAATGAGCGTGAGGGGGATTTTTCTGCCTGAACAGGATACAAAGGCCTCGGCACAAATGAATTCCGGAGCTTCAAAGCCTTTCCTGAATGTTTTTCCACCCCTGTCAGGCTGTTTTATTTCCCAGGTACAGTGATATCACCCAGCAGACCATTCGAAGGCTGCTCCACTTGCTTTAAGGAGGAATGGGCAGGCAAGGATGTGCTGCTATTCCCTGCTGGATCAGCTTTTCTGGGACAGAGATTTTTTTTTTCTATTTTTCAATGCCTTTTTATTTTTTTTTGCAGTAGGAGCATCTAAGTTGTGTCCTTGGATGATGGCAGCTGCCGTGTTCAAAGGGAATCGCTGTCCTTCCTCCCAGACGGGATTGTTGTTGTGGTGTGTCCATCCTCGCCAGGGTTTTTTTGGGAAGAGGGCGATTGGTTGGAAGGGATCTTCCAGCTCATCCAGTTCCAGCCCCCCTGCCATGGGCAGGGACACCTTCCACTATCCCAGGTTTCTCCGAGGCTGGTCCAACCTGGCCTGGGACTCTTCCAGGGATGGGGCAGCCACAGCTTCCCAGCGAAATCCATTCCAGGGTCTAACAATTTCTTCCCAGTATCCCATCTAACCCTGTTCTCTGGCAGTGGGAAGCCGTTCCCTCTTTTCCTGTCACTCCATACCCTCGTGAACAGGCTCTCTCCATCTTTATTGGGAACATTTTTTCCTGAGAGGAAAGCGCTGCTTGAAAGCAGCGTGCCAGGCCGTCTCCATGAGGGAGACCGCAGTGCTGTTCTGGGGAGTTTTCCAGAGGGAAGGGATGTTGGGAGAGCCCCAGGTGTGGCTGAGGGGAGATTTGATTGCTCCCTGAATTCCCTGATTGTGGGGGAGGCAGGTTGGAGCCGGGCTGTGCTCCCGGAGAATAAGGCATGGGACAAGAGGAAATGGCCCCAACTTGTGACATGGGAAGTTCAGGTTGGACACCAGAAGGAATTTCTTCATGGAAAGGATGATGAGACACTGGAAGGGGCTGCCCAGGTAGGTGGTGGAGTCCCCATCCCCGGAGGTGTTTAAGGAATGACTGGACGTGGCTCTCAGTGCTCTCTGGGTGACAAGGCGGGGACTGTCACAGGCTGGACTCGGTGGTCCTGGACGTCTTTTCCAAGGGAATTGGTTCCTGTGGGACCCTTCCATCATTCCAGTGGGATTTTTCCATGATGATATCGGTAGGGCAGGTGAGCACCGGCCCAGGAGAGGCCCCTGCCCGCAGCAGGCGGCGTTCCCCGGATCCCAGCGACAATTCCCCGCTGGAATCCGCGGCCGGCCCGGGATTGCCCCGCCCCGTGGCGCTACCGCCGGGCGCCACCAGGCGGCGCCGCCGCGCCCCGCACCCCTCGTTGCCGTGGCGACCGCAGGTTGCGTAGCGGCCCTTACGCAGTTGACGCAGTGGGCGGCCCCGGCGAGGCGGGGGCGGCCCCGGCAGGGCGGAGGCGGCGTTGGAGAATCGGGGGCCGCAGGGCCCCCGGCATGGAGGAGGCGGCGGCGGCCGCGGCGCTCCCGAGGCGGCGGCAGCGGGAGCGAGGTGAGGGACGGCGATGGGAATGGCGCGGCAGCGGGGGCCGGCGCTGCGGCAGGTGCGGGGGAGCCGGGAGGGCGCTGGCAGGGCCGGGGGTGCGCCCGCCGCCGCCCCCCGCCCCGCTGGGCTGCAGGCCCGTGCCGCCCGAGGGGTCTGGATCCCGCAGGAAGCGCGGCGTTCCCGCCGGGAGGGCCCCGCTCCATGTGGCCTGCGCCCCCTGGGAAGCGGTGGGCTTCCACCTGCGCCTCTGGCAAGGCGCCATCCTGCCCCGGGCAGGTGCGAGGCGTGAAGGTGATCCCGCCGTTTGGGATTCGGGATCCTGCGGTGGGAGGCGGGAGCGGTGCTGTTGGATGTCCAGGGAGAAGAAGCTGCGGTGTGGGTGTGACACAGGGATTCTTGCTCCCAGCTTTTATTACTTCCCGCAGGGAATGGTACCTGACTTGAGCAACGCGGGCGGATGCTGAGCCGTGGCCGTAAAATTCCCAAATTTAGGATCGCAGGCAGCTGCAGAAGTGAGATATCCTTATAAAAGTAAGGGAGATGTCGCTCCGAGATCTTGGAGCTGGGATGCTGCCAGGCTGCTCAGCCAGAATTCCCGCTGTGCCCAATTCTGGGAATTAGTACCTGCTGGTGTATTTGGGACAGGCTTCAGTTGGCACTGGGAGTATGGGAATGGGGATTGCCGAGCCTGGTGCACGCCATGGTCCTTAGAACCTGCTCCAGGTGGGAAATCACACAGTGATTCACCAAGGTGGGATATAGAAGCCCGGGACATGAAAACAGCAAAACTCTGGGGAATGGTTTTAAAGGAAAAGAGTATTCCAAGGTGGGAATATTCATCTCCCCCTGGATGAAACTTAGTGGGGATGAGTTGCTGCATCCTCCTGGCTGGAGAGGGAGAAGCGTCCGAGTTTTTGTGGTCAGGCTGAGTGTTCTTAAATGGGAGATAATGAAATTGTGGGAAGTGGCTCTTGGAAAGCTTCGGACTCTCCGTGATTCTGGCATTGCCTTGGCTGAAGTGTGTATCCTGTGGACACTGCTGGAAGGAGCTTTCCAAGTTGGAAACCTGAGCTGGGGGAAGGTGTTTGTTGTGCCAGGTGTTGGTTTTCAGGGTCATAAAAGTTGCACGGGGGTCTTAAAACTGCTGGGGAAATTCCAGCCGTGCCAGCTTGGACTGGGAATGGCTGAGGGGGTTGGGAATGCCCAACAGGGACAAGAGACTTGGAAAAGCATCGGTTACGTGGTAAATGATACAAATAACCTGGAATTTCTGCAGCCAAAACCCTTCAGCAAGGAGCAGGATAAAATTCCCCCTTTAAATGGGAATTTAAATTGGAAATTTGGGAGTTGGCAGCTCTGCTCTCCAAAATTTTACTCAGGAGGGTCAAAATCAGGGATTTAAGGATATGGACTATGTACTGCAGGTACTGACTTTGTCAGTGCTGACCTAAAAATACCCTGATTTGACCCGAATTCCCATTTAAATTAAAGCACTGGGCACTTTTTGCCTGCTACCTGCAAAGCCAGATCCAAATCCTGGAGACAGGGAATGCTGTAAATCCCTCTGTGGTTGCTGGGAAAAGGGTGGTGAGAAAGGGAAACTTCTCTGGGCTGTGTCCACCCGTTCCCTTTCCAGAGGGCTGGGAAGGAGCAGTTGTGCAATGATGGGATTTAAGGGAAGTGCTGTGCCAGGAGGGAAAGTGAGAAGGGTGGAAATGCTCCTCCCAATGACCAAAAATGTGAGGAATAAAAAAAAAAAAATCCTACGTTTTGGAAACTTTGTTAAAATTCCCTGGACAAAGAATTACAGCAACCAAAAAAACCCCACTGCTTGGGGGTTGTTTTTTTTTTAACTTTGTGTGGGAATCTCAGTCCTGCTCCTTCTGCTCTCCCTCCCCTTGGAAGTTAATTAATTGAGAGCTGGCTGCTCCAAATGAGGTCACTTGGATTTCGGAGCTGCCGTATCATTGTATGGATTTGCAAAATCAGGATTTGCAGCTTGTGTGCCTTAGAAATTTTTCCTTAAAGTGGCATAATCCTGGTTTTTGGGAGTCTTTTCCAGGCAGCTGGAAGCATGGTAGGGAGGAGAAGTGTTCAAATTGGAGGGTGTAAAGCTCGGGAAGCTGCTCAGCTTTGGATGGAGAAGAGTTTGGAGATGCTTACAGGCATTCCCAGGCCTGGCTGTCTTTTATGAAACTTCCTTGGACTAAACCAGCAGGAATTCTCTTCTGTCCCAAACATCCCTGTCCTGTCTGAAGACTTTCTTTTGGGGAATTAAGCCTTCATACCTCCCCTTGACCACACAGCTTTTTTCTGGGGAGCCTGCACCCTGCTTTTCCTCCCCTCCCTTTCCATCTTTCCCAAATAAATGACCCTTGGTTCCGCCTCTGCTCCCAACAGTGATCCAGCTGATGAATAAGAACATCCCAAGCTCGATTGAGCCCTGGAGTTTGAGGAATTTCCAGTTAAAGACACAGCAGTTGAGATGGGGTGAGTGAAACCATTTTAATCTGCTCTTGGAGCTGCAGGGCTGGAGTTTTTCAGGAGCTGGGAGCAGATGAAAGTGGCCTTTGTGCCATGGGAAGTGTGACAAATGGACTTTTGTGGGATCTGCGGAGAGCGACGGGATGTTTATTCCTGCTGGGATAGATAGGAGTCAATCAGGCTCTTCATTCCAGGCTAGTTGGAGCTGATATTTTTGTTATTTCATGTGTGATATTGTTGATTTAGGTGTGTTTCTATGCATTATTGTGTGGATTTTTAAGGAGAAATCCGAGAAAAAATCCTGGAAAATTTGCCAGGTGCAGCACCTGCCCAGCTTGGAACTTTGAAAATGGAAGAAATTAGAATGGTCTTCCAGATTTTGGTAAAAAATGGGAAAGTTTGCCCTGCTGAGGAATATCCTGCCCTGGAATATGGACAAAAATGCTGCTGGACCCTAGCAGGGATTTTGGATACAGGAAGTAATTCCCACAGAGTTTCAGGAAAAATGTGCCCTGGACCTTCAGGCATTCCTTCTTCCTCCTTTTCTTTCCTTGCTTCCACTCTTTCCAGTGGAAGGCACATGGATCCCTTACCTCTGGATTTCTTTGGAAAGATGAAATAAAAAAGCTTTGGATTATTTTCCTTTTCATTGCAGCAGGAGCTGGAAATCTGCATGGCAGGCAGAGACTGTCAGGAATTCTGTCCTGGGCTCTTAATCCAGGAGTTTCTTCTTTAATTCAAATCCTTCCTTAACTGCCCTTGTGCTCCAGCAGATCCCTGAAAATCCTCATCCTGCCCCATCCATTGGCATTTCTCCCTCTCTTTGAGGAGCCTTCTGAGCTCCTCTTCAAAGATCTGTGGCAATTCCTGGCTTTACATTCCCTTCCAGCTGAGATTTTGGTTCCTGCCTGTTCCCTTGGTGTGGAATTAAAACAAGTGGGTTCCTCAGGGCTGGCTTTGAGCTCAATAGGAATTTTCCCCTGAAAACAGAATACAAGATGTAATTTAGAACCTTCAATTCCAAGTTTTCCTGGTGTTTTTCACTTGCCATTTCAGGAGTCAGAGGCAGATATCCCAGTGCAATTCACTCATAGCCATCAGTAGATATGGGAATGCCACCTTAAATGAGCATTTTCCTCGACTTTTTTTCCTCTGGAACGTGTTTCCTTGGGATTTCTTGGCCTGGAGGTTTTACTATCCCCACAGATCTGAGTGATCCTGATTTTACATCCAGGCAGGCTGCAGGACAGGATCCTTATCCTTGTTCTTTTGGAATAAAATGCTGAATCCCTCAGGCCACCTTAAAACATTTGAACTGGATAATGGGAAGAAACAGGAAAATTCAGGACATTCCTATTATAGTTCAGTGCACCAAATAGAAAATGGGGAGGTTGGGATGGAATTCAGCCCTTTCTTTCCTGAAAGGTGCTTTTCTTCCCTGGAAGGTTCCCATTTGGATGTGTCCTGCTGCTCCATGTCTGTTGGAATTTGGAATTTTCACAGTTCTGCATTCTTTGGGGTGAAATTTATTATTCTGTAATGGCTTGTCTTTGCAGCCCATATCCCTGGTGTTGACACAGCCTGGATGTATTTTTGGAATATGGATGTCAGCTCCAAACTGGGAGCCTCTGGAGGCTTGGCTTTTCCCATTGGGTCTGCTAAATGATCCTGCAAATTGCTGCTGTTTTCTCCTGTGGGAAATGAACTGTTTCACCTCCCAGAAAATCAGAACAAGGCAGGTGCTGCTTAGGAGCTTCCAGCATCTCAGCCAGCTGGGGGTTGTCCTGAAAAAAGTTTATCCTGCTCTGCTTGGATCTCATTATTAGAATCCTGGAACAGTTTGGGTTGGAAGGGGCCTTAAAACTCACCCACTATCCCAGGTAACTCCAAGCCCCATCCAACCTGGCCTTGGACACTTCCATGGATCCACAGCTTCCCTGGGCACCCTATTTCTTGGTGATATCCAGATCCTATAAATGTTCTTCATTTACCTCTGGGCCACGTTTAACCTTTGGAAGCACATTCCCCTTTTTGTGACTCCGGGTTTTTTCCGTCTGATTCAGTTGTTTGTCACCATCTCCATGGCACCAGAGCATCCGCTAATGACAACCAGCATTTCCCTAAATGAGAGCATTCAGGGATGAACTGGATTTTTCCCTGGAGAGGGGAAAACATATGCCCTGTCAGAGGAAGAAGAAAAACTTCCCATAAAAACAGGAATTTGTGATTTGTGCTGCTCATTTTCTTCCCTGGATAGAGTAGGGAATAAGGGAAAATTTCATGGAGAGATTTTGTGCTCTGTGAGATTGCTGTTCCCTCTACCTTTGTCAGTTCTCCCTTATTTTCTAGTGGAAAAAGAGGCATCCGTATTCCAAAACTGGAAGGATTAGAGCTTTCCTCAAAATTCACTGATAAATCCAGGGGCAAAATTCCCTTTGTGGAATTGTGGTGTTAAAACTTCCGCGGGAAGCCACAGGCTGCTTTTTCTGGAAAACCTTCTTCCCTCTAAATTTTGTGGCTATTCCTGGATCAATTTGTTGCTTTTGGAAAAGAGTCTTTTGGCCCTTAAAAAAAAGAAGAGATGCCATTTTCTCCCTGAGCTTGTTTGAACACCTCCAGTGCCATAATCAAATTTAACTCAGTAGGAAATGGGCAAATCCCCAAATCCAGTGTTATCCATGGTTATTCCAAGGCCTGATAGAGCCCGAGATAAAGCAATTTGTTGCATGTAACTGTTTGCCTTATGGAATCCCAGCTGGCAAGGAGAATTTTGGGACTCTCTGGGGTCTTGCTCTGACTTTGTGTTCCCCTTGGATGAGGGCGGAGGAATGAGGAGAGGCGAGCTGGGAGGTGGGAAGCACGTGGGAAGCTGCAGAAAATGCTCAGGAATGGGCGGCTGAGTAAGTGTGGAGCCTCCTGGGAATACTGGCAGAGGTGGTGAAATTCCCTTGTGAGGTGGGGAGCAGGAATTTGGGGAGGGAAATCAGGAACATGCCGATGTTGGAAGTTTCTCTGTTATCTAACGTGTGAGTTTGCAGGATGTGTTT